TCCCAAGTTGAGTGGGGCGTAAAGGAATATCGCGAGCCGAGCTCGGCTATTACAGCGCAGGCGCATATTACAGACGGTTAAAAGCTAAGAGAGTCCGTGTCATCAACACGACCACCTTCTTAAATTTGATTTTAAAACAGAGAAGGATTTGAAGGTGCTTTCTTACTGGTTTACTTGTAAAACGTCTTGATCTAAAACCCAGCAAATGAATTTATGTTAGATTTTTGGTAGTTATTTACAACAAGAAAATGTAATTAAAATTAGAACATAGGTATTCAAAGGATCAGACCGCCAATTCGTTTTGCTGGAAATGTCTGTACGTGGTAACTTTTCATCAGTGTGAAGCCTATAATGTGCGTGCGGTTCCACAATAGACTGAATTTGTTTTACCAATTTAGGCGATGTTGTCAAGGGAATTTTCCTTTTGACTCTTCATAAATTATGAACACATATGCACGTGGATACACGTGGACAATATTTGGAAACAAAAAACAGTTCTCTGGGGTAAAATCACGTGGTCTGAAATGGGAAAACAAAAATATACAACCTAAAAAGTCTATTGGTTTCGGCCCCGCTAAATCATCCTCCAGTAGACCATTTCCGAGTTACGCAAACGCTCACATTCAAAACGAGGCTAAGTGCAAAACCTTTCTCTTGTAAATGAGCTTTATTTGCGTGAGGATAGAAAATCGTTTTTACGGACGAATTGCCTATTGCAAAACAATTTCTCCTAAGGAGTAGACTGTCATAATATGACCCAGCTACTGGTAAGGCATATTATATATGGCTCAAAAGCCAATCCCATGCTTCATTAACCTTAATTAAACAATCTAAAATGTTGCGACTCAGTGGCGTGGGCGGCGGTAGTTTACACGAAAAAAGTCTTTAGACGAGGTCTAGAATATGTATATTTAAATAGGAAGTTGTTTACAAGAAGAAGAACACGAGGGTCAGATTTGAGCATAGCGCTCTGTATGCAAACATTTCCTTGTTTGGAAAAAAACATAGACAAATATATGGTGTGCTTATAGTTAGTAAAGTAGTTATACTCAATACTCCTATTTGATCAACAAAGACCTCACCACAAAACTATTTATAGAACCAGGGTCTCAGATGTAGTCTTTCAGGACGTTTTGGTGTACCGAACAGGTTTTTCCCGTTAGGCTGTATTAGGCACGCTGAACGTTGACACTGATCATCAAAACTCAAAGACTTCCTTATGGAATTCAAACGTAACACCTCCACTTGAGAACGTGGCGCACAATTTCTCGGCTGAGTTCACCAGTGATGCTGGGCCACACGTCAGTACCGCCACTTTACCCTCGCCCATCTCACTGGCATAGCCTTTCATCTTAGAGAATAGTTTTAGCAAAGTCAGGACGACCGAATTTCAGATCTGGTTGCATTTCTGGACGGATGCTGGCTTCTTCAAACTTGGACGAATCTCTCTCTCTGGTGAGATGGAAATAGTTTTCCATCACCTCTTGGGGCTGTCCCCGTACGACCAGATCGGGGCAGAAGGAGATTTATTTTTATATTAAATATTACTTTTTAGTTATTTACCATGTATTGTATTTTGTTATGATTAATAAAGGCAGTCTTGTATCCCAAACAATGCCTGGGTTTCTGAGTTTTGTTGATTTAGTGTAAAAACTATGCCATTATAGTAATATCCTGTCACTGTAGGTGGAATACATACACACTGAAAAACTTAGTTGGCACTAAGCCTCTATTATTATCAGATTATTTTTGTCCTGTATCATACAGTCAAACCCCTCTTTACGGACACCAGCTTAATGTGGACTCCCTGTTATTATGGGAAGTTTCCTTGGTCACTGGGGAAAACCCTTAATTTTTCTCTTTATTCAACCCTCTTAATACAGACTGACCTGTTAAAGTGGATAATGGACGTTTTTTTCTTCCTCAATGAACAGATTCTCATATAACGTCAACCTCGCTAATCCGCACACTTTCTAGTCCATTGTGTCCTGTAGTCAACCTCTTTTTTTGTAGGGTAAAAAAACCTTTCACTTAATTGACGTCATGTCCATGTTCCCAGCATCATAGTACACCAAAATGAATGAATTGTGCACAACAATAATAGACCATTTTGACATCAATCGAGTTGGTAAATGTTACATAATTTTTGATCTTTTTTCTCGAGACTTCTGTTTGTTTTCATGGACACAGTCTGCAGAATAAGAGCTTAGTGATGTTTAAATATGTTAGGTGTGATGCTGTAGTATTTCGATTAAAAAAGTGTATTTTTGACTTTTATAACAGGACCTGCTTGATATGGATACCTCCGTTATATAGACACTTCCTATGGCCTCTTCAGTGTCCATATCAATGGGGTTTGACTGTAATTATGAATATGGAACAGTTTTGTAAGATCGATCATTTGGTGTCCTGTTTAAAGTTTATTTTCAGCCATTCTTCACATTTTCCACCTTGCATGTCATAACCTAAGGCAAAGTAAAGTAACAAATAAATAATAAATTAAAAAATCACATGAGCAATCGAAAATACAGGCATTTTTTTATGTACCTCAATCCGTGTACATTCAATTCATTGAAATGAAAGGGTTATCCAGCGATGACCAATGCTCTTATTATATTGTCAGCATTGACATTTTAATTCAGTAATCGAAAATTATATAAGTGGGAAACTGATTTGCACTGTTGCATACTGTCTCATGACAGTGATTAATCGACCATCATCATTTCAGTCAAGATTTTTGTATTCAAAGCTATCCTACAATGTAGGGTCGGGTTGGCATTTGTTGAACATCCATGGTGAGCCTGTTTAACCAAGATCTTACAGTTGCATGAGCTTGTATCGGGAAAGAACTTGTTGTATATATTCATTGCTAGTTTGCTACGTGCGATTGAATATACCAGAAGGTTGGCACCAAACAAAAATGGACTAACATAAGATGGTTGCACAAGAGAATACAGCTGATCCACAGCAAATGTTTTCTGCACATCTTTTATACCACTGTGACATAAGGCACCTACTGCATGTGACAATACTTCATTTCGTCCTTCCATCCAGCTATCTGGTCGCAATTGTAAAAGACCAGGTAAACTCTTATAGGTTTGACTGCAGCTAAGAATGTCCTTTTTCACCTTCTCAGCTTCTAACCTGAAGATAGCAATGTTACTCTCTCAACACCTGCTAAAGATTGATCAATATTGTCAAGATCAACAAAGACAAAATTAAAATATTCTATAAGTTTACAGGAAAGAGCAATAGCCAGTTTTTTGTCTAACTTTGGCAACATGTCCATGAGTTGGTTGAAAGTTAGGCAACCATCTTTTTCACTCTCTGACTCAGACTCTTTCATGCCTTCTTCTCTTCAATTCCTTCTTTGAAGGCCTTCCCTTGAGGTTCTGCAGGCAATAGCAGTTTGAGGAGTGTTCCTTCCACACAAACAGTTTTATTCCTTGCTTTCTCCCTTCAGAGGTTTCGGGTCCAAGTTACCTGAATTTAAATGATAAACGACTCTCCTACAAGCCGAACACACTTTCTGTGGATGGATTTCTCTGGAGTCCAGCCCAATATTTACGCCAAAGAAGTTCAAAAGTTCCCTTCGAAACGCTGTTTTGTCGCAGTTCTGGACAGTTTTGACTTTAGAGAAAGTTTTCCCACACAAACGGCATCTTCTTTTCAAAAAACCAAGGTGCTTTTCCATCCGACTGCAAAATAACGTAAAATAAACATGGCGTTACAAAAACCCGCACGTTAACTGCGCAACTGACTTTTGCATCTTTAAAAGCCCAGCACTATGTGAAACTGCTTTGCACTACACCAAACAGACCACTATCAACACACAAATTTTATGTAGATTTCAAAAAAAGTTTTTCTAAAGGTCCAAAAAATGACACTCACCTTCTTTTTTTCGATGTTTTGCTCCTTGTCGGGCATTTCTTTGAGCTGAAAAACTCTCGTGTTCGGTCGTTTTACCTCCCAAGAACGAACAAACGTTCATCGGACGGCATTTTTTCTTCACACCCCTGATTTCTCATTGTCTAAAGTCACAGCTCTCAAAGTAGTATGGGGAAAGGACACTTCTAGGCGCAGCAAAGAGCTCGGAAGTGACCTTTCCTCGTGTTTCTCGGCGTGAGCGCCATTTTGCAAATGTGGGTGACGTCATCATATATCCAGATCTGGTTGTGGCCCGGACTGTAAATCGCCCAAAGTCGCCTTAAGTTACGGCGACTTAAGGTCCCAGAGTAGACCTTACCCACAAAAAACAATAAGACAATTAAGCACTGTTTTTTTGTGACCCTTCATTTTATTCCTATATATAGGAATTACATCTTAACATTTTTTTATACTTGAATTTTAATATTCGACATCCTGACAAAAGAAAAATCAATGCATTATCCGCTTGTCGACAAACGATCAATTTCACTTGCGACTCAAATCTTGAGCATCTTTGTAAATTTTCCCCAAATCAAGGTTGTTGCTCTCCGCTACTTTCATGTCGACCAGAGTAGCGAGGTCTTCATTCATAATAAACTCCACATCACGGAGTATGACGTCATGGCGAATGTAGCTGGAGTCAACGCTTCTGATCTGAAGCACGTAATCCACACCATTAAACACCAAATGCAGCGTGTTGTGGCCTAAACAACGCAAACTGATGTTTTAGCAACTCATGCTGT